AGAAATACGCGTATTCAGCACTCCCTAACGTTTGCTGGTAGTAATCAAAAAACTTAAGTACGTTTTCGAATCGATTGTGCAGGTTGACGTTTCAAGAGATAGAAAATCTGTATCGTGCTGACTGCAGCATAACGATGAGTTGTTAGAAGTCAGATAAAAAATCGAAACAGTGTCACGGTCAAATGGACTGGGCAGACCCCTTACTTATCGATGACATGTTAAAAACGTCCGTTTGAGAGGCCTGTCAGTGCTAATGGTGTTTCATTTTTTACTGGCTTCATGGTTCCACAAGGGTACCAGTAATGTCAACATCCTCCACTCCATAATCGCTTTAAAAGCAACCGCAAGCCAGTCCCCGATGGAAGATTAGACCTGACAATTGGAAAAAGGCAGGCGCGAACGGAAATTACCCAGGTGTTCGAGCATGTCAGCGCTGGCAAGCAACATTGCGACTGGATTGGCGACACTCTGGCCACGAAGAGAGCGGGCTGACTTGCGCGTACCCGCCTCGAAGATGGCGTACCTATCACCAAGGTTCATTCCAGCCGCAATTCCCGCTCCACCCACAAGGCCAACGGCCAGGTTGCCCACAATGTTACCGTAAAGGTTGGGCAGCACGAGAACGTCGAATTGTTGTGGACGAGAAACCAGCTGCATGCAGCAATTGTCGATTATGATGGAGTTGAATTCAATCTGTGATAGGCGGGCACAGAGTAAGGTAGTAATGAATACCACGCATAGGTATTTAAAAAAAATATTTAGGCGAAAATCGCGATATGATTGCTGGCATTGCAGGACTTAGGGTCAGGCTGTAGGACCTTGATGACATTTTCACCTATGTGCCCTTACTGTAACTGAATACATCAACATTAAAGATCGGATTCTGGGTGCTACGGGCCATTTGGCCTTGCTGAGCACCACGCGCGACTTCGGTCTTGGTTTTGCCTGACCATCGGAACGTCGTTGGTGAGGGAGGAGACGATGCGGTGGATGCTCTACAAGTCTGTCTCCCTATACACTAATCAACGCGTAAGTCACTACTGCTGAGACCATCGTGTACGGCAGTGGCAGACGTCATCATTTACGATGGTCAAACTTCATCACATGAAAAGCTCAAATGCTAAATCCATCCTTATTACACACAACTGCATCTAGCAAGAGACAATAACAACGATGAGTTTAGAAAGGAGCAGGACAGACTAGATTGAAGCGATAACTTTTAATACTTGTTTTTTGACCGGTCAAGGTTAACATACATTTGGATAAAGCTTTGAGACTTCGGCGCAAGCATTTAGAAAGAGGCCATCACCGAGCTTCATGATGTTGGCCTTGTGAACGGCGGTCACCTTTTTACGACCATGTTTGGTAGCATAGTCAAAAGCAAACTTGGCGATCCTGGAGAACAAGGTAAAAGATAGGAGATGATTGCGATGAGTGCAACAGGTGGATATCTGAGGTAATAATGGAAAACAAATAGACGTGATTAACTCTTTATACTAAGCGACGTCGGGAATGCAAAAAAGGCCAGGGTTTGAGAAGACAAGGTAAGTCGAGAGTCAGGCAAATATAAAAAGCCCTTTCTTGGTCTAAGCAGGACAAGTAATCGCATGGGAGGGATGCGGATGAACTGTGCTCTGGATGAAGGTACTGATAAGCAAGATTGTCCTATCCTTTTCAATCTAATTCTCCAAAAGTATTAACCTACGATCAGGCTGCTAACGCGTTCAGCTCCGATGAGTGCCTCGTCGTCGATGTTTTCCGTGTAACCAGTTAATTTTGAGATGCACGCCTAGGTAGCAACCTTCACGCCATCCATATTAAAGGAGGTGATATTGTAGACCAAATTCGACAGATTATTGGCGTCCAGCTGAACATCTTAGACCAAGTTCAACTCGGGAGCTAAAATTGGGTAACCGTGGTAGACTCCGACTCCAAAAATGATAGAATGAATTAACTACCAGGGCGAGGAAGTGACTGGGTAATGAATCACGCCTGATCTTTCGGTTGACGATTGTTTAATGCACTGCCTGAGTCGCGTTGAGACAATCTATGTTTGTTACTGTGACAAATATTGCGCGTTTAAGTGGGAGAACCCTAAGAAGCGCTGCGCATATAGAGTACCCAAGATGACTGTCTTCTTGTCTTGAAAACATGGAAGAAGCTCCACAAAACGCATTCAGGAAAACGTGAGCAGCTAAAAGATTCGACCAATAAGTGTGCAAAAGTTGTTCTATCTCATTAAGCGTTAACCAAAATTCTGAATTGTGCTTTCGAATGGAAAGGATTAGGTATATGAGACTGTAATCCTAGTTATCGAACGGCATACACCCAGGATATTTCAATCACGGCAGAATAGAGACCTTTAAACGAGGTTCTTTCTGGTTACCTGCAAAAACTGCTCTGGATAAAACAAATGACAGCTTAATTAGTGTACTTTTTACCATATACTTTCGAAATCCTTACAAATTCGAGCATATACAAAATATTCCTTCTTAAGGGAGATACCAGCTCTGAGCAAAGGAATCGTGTTCCAGCGTTTGCGATCGAGAATAAGCGCAGACAGATGTGAGCAAGCAATCATTGATTGATGGGAATAATCGACTAAAGCTAAGGCGGACTGGATA